CAAAGTGGGACAGACTGAATGTGTTGCTATTTGCATTTCTCGTGATTCTTCAGTTGTGTAAGCCCGCATAATTTTGGGAGAGAGTCATTCCAGGCAATTGTGAAAACAGCCTAATCTGATCTTTGCCTCCATGCTGTCCTGGCACCAAAGTGCTTATGTAAACGCAGACACATTTGAAAATACTCATTTTCGCTCACAGCTCTGCCCCCCCCCCCCCCTACCTCGCTCTGAAAGAGCAATCGTTTGAAATGAAAATATTAAAAAAAGAAGAGGAAGAAGGTATCTCAATCTCCTCCTCCTGCCATTTCAATGTGAGGTCATTCAGTTGAGGATCTTTGCTTTGTGAGCTGGAATGAGAAGTGGAAGAGGGCTGCAGTGGAAACCATCTGAATGAAGGATGGCACTACGCAGGGATCGGAGGCCAGAGGTTTCTAAACCGGAGCCGCTTAAGCGTCTTCATGGCGGAGCACAGAGACGGCCCGCGGTGGTGGCTCCTGTGTGCTCCGGGCTCGCTCACACAGGTTCACATGCACTCCCTCCTCACGCGGCGTTGACAGATTGAAGAGGCGGAGCTTAAACTACCCTGCCCGACCCTGGCAACAACATCCCAGTGATGCAACACCACCGCTGACTCACAAGTACCTCATGGTTTAGCATGCAACCCGGAGCCAATCAATGCTTAAACTTAGACTCAGACTTATTTTTTCGTATCCGCTTTAGATTCTTTTCTTACAGACTTTCAGTCCGTAACGACATAAACATAGGTACAGGCACGCACACGGGAAGGAAGCGGAGGATGATGAGTGTTCACCGTGTCCTGCTTCTCCCGAGTGCTGCTGTCACATCCTGTAAATATGCGCGTGCCATCTGTCCCCGCGGCTCTGCCTCGCCGCCGCCGCCGCCGCCGCCGCCGCCGCCGCCGCCGCCGCCACTGCAGCCGCTGCTGCTCAAATGAGATTCAGAGCGAGCAGCCCAGATCGCCAGAGATAATCTGTTTTTCCTAAGAAGCTCCCTGGAATCCAATGCGGTAGAGGAAGCAGGGGATTCTCACGAAATGGGAAAATAAGCGTCTCCCCGATCTGGATCATCAAAAGCTATTGCACGGCTAAAAGTTACTCTGGCTTTGCTCGTCTGTGTAATAGAAATATAATGGTTTGCGACCAATGGGGGCTCGCACAGATCAAGGGTAAGCACAGAAAACAAAAAATCAGAATGGTAATTTAAAAAACTAACGTTGACAGGCAAGACATTGGTACTTTTGTTTATTCCCTTGTCTTTTAAGGACCTTCCACAGTATTCTTAATCTTACCCACATTTTCTGTTCTGCAATATCACTCACGTCACAGTTATGAGAAATAATTGTGGCTAACAGTCTCTGTAAATGACAGAAAAAAAAAAAGATTAGAATGTATTTGTCAGTTGAGCCTAGTTAGGGCTCAACTGACCTGTTGGTTGGTTGAGTCCAAAACCTACTCTACCTCCACCTTTTTCGACCTCCATTTAAATAACCTGTTCCGTCCATGAGTCGCTTCTCGTTTAAAGCAAAAAATACCTGATCTTTCTACTCCTTTCTAAGGTTTCACACCTCACTCCTTAGGGTGATGGTCTGTAAAAGCTCGGTGTGACCACTCGTTGGTGCTCGTAAAATTCACAGCTTTACTACACAGCACTACCGATGGACGTCATGTCTTTTGCCACTTTTTATTTCTCCATCTCAGCTAATCCCTTTATAGGTGGGGAGCAAGGCTGCTAAAAGCTCTTTTCACATCTTTTTGCCATTCTAACATTACTTTCTTTACCAAATCAACTTGCCAGCACATCTGTTGCATTACGTTGTTGGGTTCGTTGACCACACCGATTGAGTTAAAAAAGTGTGTCAAGAACTCACTGTTTTATTAATTCTAAAATGTGAATAATTAAGTCAAAGGGTGGTAAAAGTTGGAGGTGTTGGGGCATCGGTCTGTGTTCCCCGCTGGGTTTCTGCAGCACTGATGTGCAGATTACTTCGGGATTAGACCGGCCCGCCAAGCAGAATCATTCCCACTAAGCAGTTTCCCGTCAACAAAGATAAAACAAGTCGACATAAGCTGGAATCTATAATATTATGACACGAGGACGTGATTACCAGTCGAGCCACACATCGATAGGATTGGAGTTTATTCAAAGCACATTCGGTTCAGTTCTAAGGTCAGATAAAGCAGCCAAGTCGACCAATTTCCTGGATCATTAAAAATCTGTTCAGAGTCATTTAGACTGTGATTTATCACAGCGGTATCTGATCAATGCCGCGGGGCTCCAGTGGATACATCGGTGCATATCACCCTGTGTGCTGCTCAGCTCTGGTAATCTGTTACACACTGACAATTTTGTAGGTTTTTGAAAAAAAAAACATTATTTATCCGCCTGTCTACACATTCAAATTGCCCTTTTCGTGAATACATAAATAATCCTGATGATTTACATCCAAATACCGTGTGCGAAATATCCCGATTATGGATGGTTTTTCCATTGCGCCTCCCTTGTAAGAAGCTGAATTTGACCAGAACGGTATTGGTGTGACCAGCTGAGGAGTTGAAGCAATCTCATATCGGTTCCGTCATTCAGAGCCGCAGCTTTCCATCCACATCAAAGAGGAAATTATAGTCAGACTTGCTCCCAGTTGGTGCAGTCGGTGTGAGTTTTACCTTTTTTAAGATAGCGAAATCCAGCAGCCCTGCGATAAGGAGTGTGTGAATATGAGTTTGGACGCAGCTCTGAGTGAACTTTTGCTTCAGACTTCTTCCACCCCGCTTCCCTCTCGAGCTCATTGTTTTCTCTCCTGCTCCTCTGCAGTCCACTCCACTCCACCTGGCAGCAGGATACAACAGAGTGAGGATAGTGCAGCTGTTGCTGCAGCACGGAGCGGACGTTCACGCCAAGGACAAAGGGTACGTACCGCAGAACCGGGCTGGGTTCAGGTGAGTAGCACCTGGCAAATCTGAACAGAATTCAACCCAGTTTTCAGGGAGCAGTAAGGCGAAGGATGAAGGTAAAAAAAAGAATGTCCTCCATTTGGTCTTCCAAAAAATATCTACAAAAATCCACTCAAAATCCAGAACAATGGCCCCAAAGGGAAATATCTACCAAGACAAACCTAACTAAGGATAACAAACAAGAACAGACCTCTCACAATGAACACACAGGGGAATGTATCCACACAGGCAAAAAAGGAGGGAAGGGGAAAGTAGACTAAGACAAACAATAAATAAACCTAAGCAACTGATTCAACCCACAAGTTATAACTACGACACAAATATAAAAACTCCCTGACACCAACATCTCTTGGAAGCTTGTAAGAGTTTGCCTGCTTCTCCAGAGTCACGACCCCCGTTTCCAGCCGCCTGATGGATTCCTCCGCTTCCTGGTGTTGCAACATATTTGCTCTCCCCAGCTCGTTCCTTCCACCTCAGCCAAAATTAAACAGTTAATAATTTGCACAGACATAGGATGTCTACTTAAACCAGTGCAATCAAATAATTATACTGTGTGAATTAAACATTAAAATGCTAACACTGCGAAATAGCTGGAGGAAGCTCCACACCTGTCGTATGTCATTATGGTCCAACTGAATTGGGGCTGAGGACAGGATTTAGGCAGCTCTGGTTTCACATATACCAGCTTTCAGTGGAGAAGAAAAAAAATGTTCTCATAAATTTTCACGCAACGATAATTAGAGTGACACAGCAGCTGTTTTGACATGAGGAAAAAAAAGAATGCAACGATTAAATGGATGTTTAGTGACGGTTGAGCTCTCTCCTGTTTCTCTCCAGTGGTCTGGTGCCTCTACACAACGCCTGCTCCTACGGACACTATGAAGTCACTGAGCTGCTGCTAAAGGTACAGATACTATACCCGTTAGTCCAGCTGTTCCAGAGGCAGCAGAATTGATCACAAAGCAGAGGGAAAAGGCCTCTGAAGTCAAACCGCTTTCGTATTTGACCGGACACATAAAGGCCGTCGTCACTCTGATCTCCTTCGGAAGATTCAGACGGCCGGTTCTCTTCTCACCCTTAATTTTCTTGCGTTGTTTACCTCTCTAGCACGGGGCCTGCGTCAACGCCATGGACCTGTGGCAGTTCACCCCCCTTCACGAAGCGGCCTCCAAAAACCGGGTGGAGGTCTGCTCCCTGCTGCTGAGCCACGGGGCCGACCCCACCCTGCTCAACTGCCACAGCAAGAGCTCCGTGGACATGGCGCCCACGCCCGAGCTGAAGGAGAGGCTCACATGTGAGTGGGACTCCTCGTTTGCAGAAGCCACAGCGGCGCTGAATTTTATGGAGCAACTTGTTCTCAGTCAGGCGTTTTTACAGACGTGAGACTGTGAGCTACAGCTTCAAAAATGCGATAAAAAAAAGTTTTAAAGGGAACCCGGGGGGGGGGGGGGGGGGGGGGGGGGTAAATCAGAATTGCTTTGGAGCAAAGAGACAGGTAGTAACATCTGATAAGCCAGCCGCTCAGGCTGGCTGAAAGGCTGCGGAGCACATAGTAATGTCCTGGCTTATCTGGATGAGACGCTACACACAAAAAGCTCTGCCGTGGTTAGATGCTGTGTCAGAAGATAGAGTTTTTTCTCTTGGCTTCTAAAATCTCGAACTGGGGAAAGGAACTGCGTACCTGTCAGACATGGTGTGGAGGCTTTGGTCTGAGCAGGGAGCACGCAGGGCATCATTTTTCCTGCCGGCCTGGTTTAAACGCTGGGATAAAATAGCTTCTGTGCATAAAGGAGGAGAAAAAACCACCAAGCAGATTCACTGCTGTTGTTTTATTGCATACTTATCCGATGAACATTAGGCCTCTGAGAGTCACAGGACATGACAAAGTTAGAACCCTGTTCCCCACAATTCCTCACAGGGGGGATAGAAACAAGAAGAACAAACTCAAATTGGCCCCCAAGTCCTATATTTTTAGATATAATAATACAACTTCCATCAGGACCAATTTGTGTAAACGTGCCCTCCCTCGGTCATAGAGGTCTCTTTTGCCAGTCAGTACGGTTGCTGTTGCCTTGGTTCTAGCAAATATCTGATGAACTATGAATCACAAAATAATGAAAATGTATGAAAAAGTACAAGATGATGGTTAAAGAGGATGACTCACTGAAAATACGCTCTTTAAACTCATTTGGACATTGCCTCACCACTTACCTAAGAGTAACATAAAAATAAAGGGACATTTCTGGGTTGGAATTCTGGGTTTTAAAACTCAGGATTGCATTTTATGGAATTTCCTATGTCTCGAAGACATACTGGGGAAGCTGAAAATATGGAATCAACTTTAGGTTTTCTCCTATGAGCTCTGAAAATTTTCAAAGCTCGTATTTGCTCATAAAATCACTCCTTTTTATCTCCCGACATAGTTTATCTTGCTCTTTTCTGCAAATTAAAGAGGCCTTTCTGGTGTTTTATTTCTTATTTCAAATGCCAGACAGCCGTGGCCCGCTGCTTTCCTCTCTGTATTCTAAGATAAGCTGACACCCTCGGATGATGTGGGCGCAGTGGAAATCCTCAGTTGTGACATAGCACAAATCAAATCATGCTATAAGTCCACTTACCGGTTTTATGGCTTCAAAGTAGTACGCGGATAGAAAACTAACAGGTTTGGAGGTGGTGTCTGTCCCACAAAGGATTACACTTTTTTATTTTTTATTAACCATTTAAAGTTTAGCTGTTGCTGGTTTTTAATTCTTTTCTCTGTCAGACCAGGAAGTGATGTCATTGAATGATGCAGCAAGATAAATGAAAGCTGTTGTCCTGATTGAACAAGTTTCCTTTGTCATTTTCTTGTCCCATTTGACATTATCTTTTATTTTGGGCTCCAACTCAAGCTCAATCACAGGCTTTTTTGTTATATATGAAGGAGTTCTGGTGCAAATCCAATGTCTGGCTTAAAAAAGGAGTAAGAAATGCAACCTCAATGAACCCATTGCTTGTGTTGCTTTTGGTGAGAATTCTTGGATGGTTTTACATTTTAATGCAGTACCTGATTTAACTTAGTCATAGTGAGTCTTTTTTTTGCGAAACTGGCCTGCTACTTATTTACATTTGTGTTCAGTTGTGAGGATTTGTATTTGTTTGTTTGTGTTTGCATGTCCAGATGAGTTCAAGGGCCACTCGCTGCTTCAAGCAGCCCGAGAAGCCGACATAGCCAAGGCTAAGAAGAGCCTGGCTCTGGAGATCATTAACTTCAAACACCCTCACACGCACGAAACGGCTCTGGTGAGATTAGCAGCCGGTCTGCGCCTCATTATGCGCCGACTGTCTCAGCTGATGCGTCTGCGTGTGTGTGTGTGTGTGTGTGTGTTAGCACTGCGCGGTGGCATCGCCTCACCCCAAAAGGAAACAGGTCACGGAGCTGCTGTTGAGGAAAGGTGCCAACGTCAATGAGAAGAATAAAGAGTGAGTGCTCTTTTCACCCGCATGCATTATTCATCAACACCAAGGGACGAACTGATGAATCCACAAGCTGAATCGCTCTGGAAGTGGAAATCACGTTGCCTGTTTGTCCAGTAGAGTAGACAGCTTTTAAGGGGCCTAGTGATTATTATAATGTTTGTTGTTATTTGTATTTTTTAGAGTGTGTGTTTTTTGTTTTTGTTTTGTTTTTAAATTAGCTAAAAGGCCCTGATTGGAGTAATCCATTTGCCCTGTGACTCAGAGAGAGTTGTTGGCTTTATGACCTGCGCTGTGCAGCAGCGTTGGGACTGAACACACTGCTCCGGCAGTGTGTTTGCACTGATCAGGATTCACTGTTCCTACCTCATAAAAGTCCTAAAGACTAATCTAAACCTGGTGGCTTTGAAAAGATTCCAAAAAAGTTGGTTTGTGACCAAAATGATGAGATTCTGATTTTATGATGATCAGACGCCGTAAACTTTGGAGTATGAAATTCCGAGTTGTGATTAACCTCACCTTTGAAGGGTTTATTGTCAAAAGGGTCTATGTTTAAAAGCATAACCCCTTTTCTCTCTCTGTCTCTCTCTCTTCTAGCTTTATGACTCCTCTCCACGTGGCAGCAGAACGGGCTCATAATGACATAATGGAGGTGCTGCAGAAGCATGGGGCAAAGGTAGACAACACAGCATTTATCAGTAGTAGACAGTTTAGTTGGAAAACATATTTAGAAAAATCTAGATAGAAAATTCTAAATGGATTTTTATACCAAATTGCCTACTACTCTCATCTTCATCACCCTCTGTGTTTGTAGTGGTTGATCTATACTCCTCATTCATTCTTTTCCACTTTTATTCTTCGTCACTATTTCTGCAAACGCCCCTTTTTACTGCGTAATTATTCATCAGTAAGTGTTCATTATCATGTAGCTTATCACTGAGTTGATGTTAACTGTTATGTTGAATCTGCATCGCAAATCGCTTGAGATAATCGCGTCTGCTAAAGCGTAAACATCTGGATGTTTATCCCCACATCTTTTTTTCACTTGCAGTCAATACTTGAGGTATTTGGTCCTACTTCATTGTTTTTTGTTGGGTTTTTTTGTCAGAGGGACCTTTCTCATACGGATCAACAGAAAACAACAATGTATCACCAAAGGGAGAAAAAACAATCACTGCAAAGCCTTCTTTGTCCGTTACTTTGACTATGAAATTCCAAAACATGCCCCTGTTGTGATTTATATTCCTCTACTTCTATTTGCAAATTATTGTTTTTACAGTTAGAGCCCCTAGAAACCTGTACATTTGAACTGATGTGGTCTACAGTGTTGCCAGGTTCCCATGAGATTCTGAAGTTAAGAGGAAACTCAAACAGGACAGCACACAATTAACTTAAACTTTGCCATCTATTTATTGATAAGAGCTACAGATCCTTCAGTCAGCTCTGCATGGCAGCTGGTTGAACTGTGGCTGCTCCATTTCTAAATGTTCATTTCGTGGCTCTTGAAGCGCATCATCTTGTGTTTGTAAGACCATTATGCTGATGCAACTTGGTCCGGACTTTTTTCTTGGTGCACAGATGGCTGGACTATTTTGTTCGCAATTCTTTTTTCGAACACATTGGTCCAAATCCCAGAATTAACAAAGCAGGCCACGCCGCTATCCTCCTACCTCCCTGTTTGGGCCGATGCGATACGTGTCTCCGTTCCCTATCCATTTTTTATGACAGCTGTTTAAGATTTTTTTAAGCTTAATATGTCTCATAACTGTCATGTGAAGTGGTCAAGACCAAAGTTTGGACGCGGACTCAGCTGGTTAGAGGCAGGGTTAGATTGAAAAGGCTTTTAATAGTGTGGCCGGCGTATCGCTGCTTATCGGAGACGGTGACGCAGAGACCTTTGTGTTTGCAGGTGAACGCTCTGGACACGCTGGGTCAGACGGCGCTGCACCGCGCGGCTCTGGCAGGCCACCTCCAGACCTGCCGGCTGTTGCTAGGATACGGGGCAGACGCCTCGCTGGTGTCGCTGCAGGGCTTCACCGCCGCTCAGATGGGAAATGAAGCTGTTCAGCAAATACTCAACGGTATGCTCCCCTTTTCGTGTGTGTGTGTGTGTATGGGTGTGTGTGTGTGTGTGTGTGTGCGAGCGGGGCTGCTGCGTGGGCAGCCGTGTGGGTGTGCTGCCTCCACCGCTGTGCAGCATTTGCAAATGCGGGGATTAAGTGGAATTGTTCTGTAAAGGTCACTATTGATATTTTCAGAATGATGGTGCGGGTAGGTAAACAGACTTTGAGGCAGAGTGAGCCAACTCAAGAGACTTGTGATCACAGTGCTATGCTGCAGGACTACCAGATTAAAGCTTTTTTTCCCTTCTCTTTTTTACAGCTTTGATAAAGTCTCTGTTTGCATCCAATTACTCAGAGAAAAACAGCCTCGGGCCCAATTTAGCTCCTTAAATAGTTTGAAACCACAGACGATACGCCGGTGTCCTGCAGGTGATCCTGTGATACTGAACGAGGACCACCTTCTCTCGACAGGGTGGCTTTGATCTCAAGACAAAAAGTGTGAATGCAAAATCCAAGTCAAGCGCGACGTTTGTGTTAAACTAATGTTGACGAGCAGCTTTGAACAGAGGTGGCGGCGTCAGGGGTCCTTTTCCCGCCACATACGGCTCAGCCTTGACTCCCTACCCTCGGGCGGTTTCACATCTCTGGGTTGAAACGTCTTGGTTCAGGCAGTCAGACGAGTCGAGGGCGGGGGGGCTACTTCAAACGGAGTGCACAACGCTCAGGTGACTCAGCCACACAGGTGTGATGTGAAGGACCCGCCAACGCGAGCGGTCCCTCAACCACCCAGAAGTCAGAACTCCACCGACTTAATTAGAAATGAGAAATAAGAGGGGAATGACTCAAGGAGTCAACAAAAAGAGCTCGGAGGTGAAACTGTTTCATCCACAGGCCGCCACAAAGTGCAATCAATAACGATTAAAAGTCGTCTGCAGCAGGTTGTAATAAAGGCTTTAGCGGAGGGGGGGAAAAACCAAAACCCTCCCATTCAGATGCGGTGCCGCCATCATCGGAGAGAGTAATCGCATCGTTCACATCTTCCGTGGCCGTCCAGCCACTCCATGCAAATGTATTTTCACTCCAACAAATCTTAAGAAAAATGCCGCCTCACAGCATCTCCAGACAAATTATACATAAAACGGTACACTTTATTTTTCTGTGCGTGTGAAGAGAATGCCAAACAGGATGTGTTCCCTCTCAAAGACGGCGCCTCTCAGACAATAAGTGCACCTTCATTCATGTCATTCCCTCTCACCGCTGTTTTTTAATGCCCTTCTCGTGTGCTCTCTTCTCCGCAGAGAACGTCCCCGTGAGAAACTCTGACGTGGACTACAGACTCCTGGAAGCTGCCAAAGCCGGAGACCTGGACACCGTTAAGGTACTTTGCTGGCACTGGTTTGGTGGGATTATTGGCTCTAATAAGGGGAATAATTAGCTGAAAGACAGCAATTTCCTCATTTAGAATCGAAAACGGTGTGATCCTGCACAGAAAAGTGTCATTCCTGACAAAGAATCAGTCAGAATTTTTTACTTTCAACATCTTTAGAACATCAGCTATTTCTTTATAATAACAAAATGAATACATTAGAAGAATAAAATAACAGATCTGCCCATAATTACAAAAATACTCAGCAGCAGCCCTTTTTTCTTCTCCTTGCTTTTACCATTGTTTGTAACTATTGTGAGGACCAGGCTGCATGCACTCAGATATTTGACAGGAGTGTTTGCTTGGGAATCAAACCAGTTTCCTTTATCCCGTCCGACTGACAGAAGGAGTCCTGTCAGCATCTGAGGGCTGATGCTTTGACAGGCTAGCAAAGGATTGGGCCGTAGTAAGAGACCAGCCGCGGCCTGGCTGATTCTCAGCCTGATTCTCAGCCTGCTTTCACCTCATGCCTGGGTGTACGCACACACAATATCAGGTTTACGTATGCCAGCGACTATAAATGTTGAGGAAGTCTTTGCCTTGCTGGTAGAATTAGGTGTGCAAACTAAAAGGAGAGGAGTAAGGACACCTCAAACAAAACCAAATGACAAAACCGTTAGTGGCTGAAAGGAGACATTTGAATAAAAGACCTCTTGTTGTTCGAGAGGGGAGATTATTTCTCGTAGCTCGCAACAGAACACGTTTTTCTTAAACCGACTGAGGAGATTCGATAAACCTGAGTCTTTTTTTTCTCCTCTGCAGTCATTGTCTACCGCTCAGAATGTGAACTGCAGAGATCTGGAGGGGCGGCACTCCACTCCTCTTCACTTTGCTGCCGGCTACAACCGGGTGTCGGTGGTGGAGTACCTGCTGCACCACGGGGCCGACGTGCACGCCAAGGACAAAGGGTGAGACCCCCGAGCCCCCGCCCCCGCTCCCACCTCAGAGAGCCCCCCCTCGGTGACGCTGATTCTGCCGGTGTGCCTTGTTTTCCCGCCGCAGGGGCCTGGTCCCGCTCCACAACGCCTGCTCCTACGGCCACTACGAGGTGGCCGAGCTGCTGGTCAGACACGGAGCCTCGGTCAACGTGGCCGACCTGTGGAAGTTCACGCCGCTCCACGAAGCCGCCGCAAAGGGCAAATATGAGATCTGCAAGCTGCTGCTGAAGGTTGGACTCCTTTGCTCCTCACCTCAAACTCTGCTTTTATGTCTGGCCACCACACTCTGCGTGGCTTTAGGCCCGGGGATCTCGAGCTCTGGACCAGGCCGCCGGCCTGCAGGTTTTAGGCGCATCCCTTCTTCAGCAGGGCTGATTTAGGCTGAATGCATCTCTTCAAAAGCCTCTTCAGCATGTCAGTGTTGCAGCAGGGGGACATCTAAAACCTTCCAGATCCCTGCGTTAGGCAGTCAGGGAACCATATTTAAGGTTATTGGCGACCCGCTCTGTTCCGATGGGCAGACCGAAGAAGCCCCTGGAACACGTCGTTTTGGGGGAAGATTAGAAACAGCGATCGTCTCCATTTTCTGTCAGAATCTAATCCCAGATTACAGGTCACCTTCGCTGAGTTTTGGATGGGCTAATACGACTGACCGCTGACCTTTCAGGATTTGCAGCTCACAGATGGAGACTTGCTTGTGGAAGCAGAGCGGCCCAGAGTTAGATAACGGCGTTTTCTCATTATCACCGGTGGAATTGCTCGTTTAATTAGCTAATCAGATGCAGACATCCCCTAAAAGCTTTGACTTTTCATGCTCTCCGTGAGCTTTTGGAAGTGGGGAAGGCAGACCATCGGGCCCCTCTGAACCGAAATAAATCCCGTGAAACGTTGCACAGTTGAACGCCTTTTTGGTTTGTTTTTCCCCATCGCAAACACCTCGAGACGAGGTTATATCACCACTCCGTCGTGGCCATATGGGGCCAGGCAAATGAATGCGCGTTCAAACACGGCTGGCCTCCGAGGCTACGCAAAAAAGCACCCTCAGGTCACGTTAAAGCCCTCTGAACAGGAACATCGGAGGGCTCCAGTGCGTGGCGGCAGAGCTTGTAACTGAAACTACAGAATGAAAGAGAACATTCAAATACCAGAGTGAAAGGTCGGTATGTGGCTGTAAAATGAATTTGACGTTAATAGAAAAGGAGAGCGCTAACTGTTGGATACAGCAGAATGTGTGAAGGGAACATTATTCCTAATATAATCTCAGGCTGCCGACTACAAGGACAAAAAGGTGAGGATCCGGTCAGTTTGGCCGGGGCTTCCTCATGATGCTAAGGGTGTTCCCTAAATTCTTTCCTATTTCTGAAACTACGGTGGAAAATTTAAAAATGAAGACTTGCTTGAAAGCCGGTGTGTAAAAACACAACGGTGTGACCACATCGACCACGCGGAAGAGCGCCTGGACTTTTTTTCCAAGGCTGATGAAGACATTTTTATAAATACTGTTTTACAATCCATACAGTTAGATGCGACACTCTTGAATGTTTAAGTGGCAGTGTCATGAGCTTCCTTATAAATTTAGCAATGATGAGGCCTCACTATATAAAACCTTGTCTTATAAAACTAAAGGAGCACTGGAAGCTGCCCATTGGCAGGAGCCCAGATTCTCTCCACTCAGAAGAACATGGACAGAATTAAGAAGTGCGTGTAAAAAAGCTATCTGAATAAAAAGAGGAGATTTAAATCTTTTGATGTAATAATGGGTATATACTTCTTTGCAGTCAGTGGAAAAAAGTAAATCAACTTTTTAAATCATTGAAAACTTGAAGGTGAAAGTGTGAATGGAGCGAGCTGGTGTTTTGAGAAATGACAACTGAGGATTGAAGTCATTACACAAACAAAACCCGCAGTGTGTTCTCTGGTTCCGGAAGACCGACTTTCCAGTTTCAGCTAAATTTATTGTTGTGTTTGGGGCTGTTGGTTTGTTAGAAAGTGCCGTGTCTACCTCCTGTAAATGACGATTTTAGTTGTTTTTCTTCCATTTTTTTAATAGACAAATTGAAAAAGCAGTGGAGGCTGTAATGAAAACAGCAGTGCAGACGGCAAAACCCACAGAGATTATTAAACTTTTTTTTTCTTTTTTTTTTTTGGTTCTGTGTCCTCTGCCCCATCTGTTCATTTGTCTCCAATACCCCAGAGTATGTCAGGCCTCTTTCCTAAAGTGACTAATCTACCATTGTTTGATCCTGTAATCTGCCCCTTTAATCTGAGTAGAGATTAAGACTGAAAATCTTAACCAGCAAACCCATGACTTTTGTGTGTGTGGAAGGCAATTGAGCTGACGGTTTGTCAACCTGTTTTTCGGCGGGGTGTGTCTTGAGGGTAGAAGCCGGCTTCCTGAGGAGCTGTTCCGTCTGAATGCATACTGCCACACACCGCCGGCCTTTTGCTCCAACATGCCTCTGATCTGAGACGGGGGCCAACCCGGGCCAATCACAACACTGAAAGGTGTTTGTGTGTTGTTTTAAGCTGGAGTCTGCCCCAGAGGCCTCGCCCTCATCCCACATCCTGCGCGCTTTGCTTAGACGGAGCTTTATCGTAAGGCTTTGTTTACTCCCCTTTCCTGCCGGTTTGTTTTGTTGAGGGTTGACTCCTGTGACTTTTTTCATTAGTGTTATCATTTGACACATACGGCAGCAGCATAAGCCTCCCCCCTCCCCCCCCCACTCCTCCGCGTTCGGTGTTTGAACCTCGTGTGGCTCTAATGTGGCAGATAAACTCCAGCTCCGAAGTTCAGAGATGGAGCGGCGACCCCCCCCGGCACCGCGCTTCCACCAATCAGAGGTGGCGCTCCAGATCTGGAGGCAAGGGTTAGAAAGACGTGATGGATTGTCCACGGCGGAGGGACGCTCTGGCTCCTTTAAACCCCTCTGCCGTCATGTGTGAGGATTCTCAGTGCGGCCGATCTGGGTCGGATTTGAAGCGTTCGGCTCTCATCCTGGCGCACGTCGCGCTTTTCCGCTTCGTTGCGCTCTCGCTGCGCCTTGGGGGTGCGACTCTTCTTTCGTTCCAAAGTTCAGCAGCAGGGCTTGTTCGTGGCCTCCGCTCGCTGTCAGCTCCCCTCTGTCAAGAGGGCGCCGGTTTACCCGAGCCCAGAATAGAACCGTTCGACGACACTTGTTGCGCCTCAACATTGTGAATTATCAAAGATTGCCACAAATGTTGATCCGCGCAAGGGGGTTGGAAACACTCCTTTGATTTGAAGCGGAACGCCTCATCATCCCGTTGCAGGAGACGAAGCGTCAGCCAAGCGAGGAGACGTCTTCCAGATAATTACCCCGGTGTCTGCCTTCTTGACGGACACAAATCTAAAATCTTTTTTCCCAATTGTTGTTTGTATGCAAATGTCCGTGATTGTTTCGTCTTTCATATCCTCGGTTAAACGGGGGAGTTGCAGTGAGAGAGCAATTACAGCAGCGGAAAAATACAGATTCAGAGAGCGGGAAGAGAGAGAAAAAAAAAAGAAAAGTTAGTCTGAGTGCAGCCACCAGAGGCAGATAAAGGACAGTTCCAGGCCGCCGGATGATACCCAGGGGAGCGCTCCCCCTACATCCGCTCCTAATGAACACATTTCAAAGCTCACAATGAAGTGACAACTTAAACTGTAACACGGGAGACAGCCGAGCGATGGAAATGTCTGCTTCCCCGTCGTCCCCTGGGCGTCTGGGCTTTTCCACTTCACTGAGTGTCCTAACCTTTGCATGACTCGCTGTCATTTCTCCCTCGCCTCCGCTCCACTGAGTTACCTGCATCGCTCCCTTCACCACGTCATCCTTCTCCTGAGTGAGAGGCATCGACCGGGCTCGGAGCGAACTTGGGTTTCTTTTTAGGGCTAATGGGTTTTTTATTCGGTCGCCGTAGCCGACACACACAAAGTCTCACATCTCCACCCCCTCCCTCCCTCCCTCCCTCCCTCCAGCACGGAGCAGACCCCACCAAGAAGAACCGGGACGGGAACACGCCCCTGGACCTGGTGAAGGACGGGGACACCGACATCCAGGACCTGCTGCGGGGAGACGCCGCCCTGCTGGACGCCGCCAAGAAGGGCTGCCTGGCCCGGGTGCAGAAGCTGTGCAGCCCCGACAATATCAACTGCAGGGACACGCAGGGCCGCAACTCCACGCCGCTGCACCTGGCCGGTAAGTCGCACGGGCCAAGATTTCCCCCCTTTTTTTTAAAACAGGGAAACCACACAGCAGGGGCTCCCAAAGCTGGTCCTCAAGGGGCCGCCGTCCAGCAGGTTTCAGACACATCCCCACTTCAGCCCGCCCGATTCACGCCAGCGAGCCTTTGAACTGATCCGGTTCATCAGAATCAGGCGCGTTGAAGCAGGGAAGACTCTAAAACTGGCTTTTTGCGCCCCTACAGCAGTCTTTAAATGGCACAACCGGCATTTGTCCTGTTGGGAACTGTCGTTTGTTTGGACCGATGGGTCACAGCACAGCTCCGCTCATATCCGAAGTGTGAACATGTGATCAAGCAGAGTTTTGTTTTTTTCACATTTTGTTATCAGTTTAGAGTCAAAGGTTTCAAACCGAAGGGGCCTGTGGTGCAGTGTCGTCTCTCCCCAGAAATCAGAAAATGGCGTTGGATGCTTCGTTGTCACGCTGCTCGTGGGAGTAGCTCGCTCCGCGCGTCGGCTGATGAAAGACAGATGAACAAACTGCTTTGCGATAACGTATCAGAGGGCCCATCGGGTGGAAGAAGGGCTCGTCTTGAGAAAATGACTTTTAAAGATAGGGATGGTGAAAGCTCATACATTTTAATTGAAAACGCCCCCATTTGTAACTAATTTATTCTTTACCAAGAAAGTTCTCTGTGTGTTTACGCTTGTCATGACTACTTTTTCTTGCTTCAACACAAAAAGAGGCATTTTTAATTGAGCTGATTTGCCAAAAAAGAAAAGTCCAGTAAGATGTATTGACAGATATTTTTAATGTAGCTCTCAGTCACAGCTACCAGTTGGTGTTTTCAACAGGCATCCTTTATTGAAGAGGCTCATTAGCTGATATGGAGAAATATGAGTTCTTTCAGTGCCATACATTCATCGGTCTTCATAGTTTTTTGGAACTTATTGGATCTTTTTGTTTTTTGGCATTTAACTTGACGAGGGGGCTTTCATGCAAGTCTTCCACTGAATCAAGCTGTAATGAGTTTTCCCACTGCCCATGTTCAGCCAGCTGAGGCTGTTTGCATCTCCTCTCGCAGCATGTGGGCACAGTTGCTCGGGGGCATCAGCCTCTTTATTCCACACTCACTGGAAATATTAAAAGGCAAACATGAATATTCATCCATAAACACGCTCTAATGTTCCGAGCCGTCCAAATTTGCCTTTTTTCGTCCAACGTGTCCCCGGGAGGACTAGCTGGCCTAGAACAACAACGGGTTTCACGGGCTTTATGCGCTTTTCAAAAGGCTGGAAAGCAGAGATCATCTCTTTCACCCTCAAGGATACACAGAGACACTAATGCATGCGTTAGGTGTCTGTAATCAGCGTGGCATCAGTTGCAGAGATAACGGAGGCAGCGTCCTGCCGCAGCCCCCTCGCCGGCTCCAACAAGCAGAAAAACACAAATCAAATGAGATCCGCGCTGGTGTCAACTGCCGGAACCGGCCGCGCAAACACAGAGCAAATGGATGTTTGAGGAATTGTATCAGGCGGGATTCTTTCATTTCATTCAGTTTGGCGTGTAGCAGAAAGCAGGAAAAACGTCTTGCTTGTTCTCTGCCATTTTTCCCTTTTTTCCCCCTGGTAAAGGATTTTATTACACTCTCTTTTTTTTTTTTTTTTTTTGTTGCAAGCAGAGCCTCTTAACATTTCCATCTCGTTTCATGAAGGGACTGCGTTGTCGTGGTGATAAAGTATAACTCTAATGGAAAGCGAGTGGCAGCACGACTGACGGTTAATAAGTTAACGAAATGCTGAGATGCACTTTGAGAGTCTGCAGTCTTTTCTTCATTCAGTGGCGATGACCGCTTTGGCGCCCACGCCTCCCGCCGCCTTGATGTACTTTCTTTTAAAAGCGGAAGACGGTAACAAGTTCTGTCACTTTGCAACCGGTGTAGGCTGATACTCTGTCTTCCCTTTTTTGCCTCGCTTCCTCCCCTCATTGCCTGATGGCGTTGTCTCTGCCCTCCCACTCCGGCGTGCGCTCTCCAGCTGGCTACAACAACTTGGAGGTGGCGGAGTACCTGCTGGAGCACGGAGCCGACGTGAACGCGCAGGACAAAGGAGGCCTGATACCTTTACACAACGCCGCCTCCTACGGAGTAAGAGTGACAAACACACACACGTGTTCTCCTGTGATGGTTGTTGAAATGCATATTTGGCTGATTTTCAATTCTTTCTTTCATACCCTCCTCCCCTCCCCTTCCTTGGGAACATACAAGCTTTGATCAGGCCTCTAACTCAAGGCATGAGCCACTGTTGAGTTTTCACACAAGACGACTAGAAGCAGTTTAAACAGCATCTCAAGGCACTTTGATCATGTTTTTCTTCCCCATTTCTCTTTAGTTTGACTAAAAGCTAATGACTAAAAAAGATCATTTCTCTCGTTTCCATTTTTCCTGATAATGTTTTTTTGAAAAATGAAGTCGGGACTGATGACTTTTTGTTTTGCGTAGAAGCATTTTGCCATTCAGAGACCACCGAATATCAGCAGTGTGTTTTCTGTTTGCGATATTAAGATCCAATTTTTATTTCTAATGTTATAATATAATGTTTTTTCAGTCGGCTTGCATCATCTTTATCCTTTTTTTTCGTAGAATCCTTAGTTCGCTTCGAGGCCCACAGCCCTCATATCTCACCAGCATGGCGCTACTAAAAGAGTCATGAAACACATGTTTGCATGAAAACTTTATGAGCCCAGCCTCGTGGAAACACACACACGCGGACACACACGCACACGCCGGGGCATCTCCTCCTGCGTCTCCAAAGCAAGCTACATTGTGTTTGACACCAAGACGAGAAAAGAGGAAGAAAAAGACAGGAGGGAAAAGAAGCGTCGTGTCAGTTCTGTTCAGCAGAATCCCACTTTTTTTTTTCTCTTCCTGATCACATTTTTTATAGCTCTAATTCGTCATCGCATTCACAGGCTGTTAAACCCTCTGCCAGCCACCCCCGTCGCTCCTCTGATCTCATTTCTTTTCTCTCTCTCTCTCTCTCTCTCTTTTTTTTTTCTTTTTTCGTAAATCTCCGTTATCCTGCTTTGTTCCTCTTTCTCGTCCGTCAGTGCGGCGTCCTCACCCGTCCCTCTCTTCTCTCTGTGCCCCGTCTCCTCGGCTCTAGCACGTGGACATCGCCGCCCTGCTGATCAAGTACAACACCTGCGTCAACGCCACCGACAAGTGGGCCTTCACGCCGCTGCACGAGGCGGCGCAGAAGGGCCGCACGCAGCTGTGCGCCCTGCTGCTGGCCCACGGAGCCGACCCCACCATGAAGAACCAGGAGGGGCAGACGCCGCTGGACCTGGCCACGGTAATGAGGAGGAGGAGGAGGGGGGGGGGACACGCTTCTGGTAACTGCCGGTGCGGATTGTTTCAGCCGACTTTCGGGTGAACTTTCCAGACTCCGGCGCTCCGCGAAGGGAGTTTTGGAAAAGATTAGAGGCTGGAACATCCAGCACACCAATTAGCTTCCTCTCCTAATGAGCCTCTCCTCACACATATCCTTGTTTGACTTCAGGTGCTATGATTTGAGATGGTCACGAAAGATTCTGCTTAAATTTCCAGGCTTGAAGTGTTGCTTAATTGCACTATATATATTACTACCGATTAGAGAGAAAAAAAACGTATTTTCTAACTAATCTCGTGTTTTGCTTTTAATACATGCAGTTTATGCTTTGCCGGCATTTTGTTTACCTCTCATTTTGTTATGTAAACAGTTTTGGCTCCATAGTTAGTTGGACGGGGGGGGGGGTTAGTTTTGTGTCTTACGCAGACGCACATCAGTCGGTGACGTTTCATGGTGTCTTGTGGTGTTTTTTGCAGGCCGATGACATCAGGGCGCTGCTGATTGACGCCATGCCACCAGACGCGCTGCCCAGCTGCCTTAAACCACAGGCCACCGTGGTGAGCTCCCACGCACCCGTTCACACATAGATGGAGAGCTTTCGGTTTGATCGACCGTGTGCAGGTTTACTGCTAGAAAAGACCGGAAGAAATAAGAGGACCGTCATATTTTACTAATTTCAGAAAAGAAAATTACAGTCATGCGGGGAAAAAATTGAGATAGCTTGGCTAAAAGTTAGAAAAATCTTTTTACAAAAAGACACAGAAATCAATTGGCACCAGATGGGAAAAAAGTGAATAAGATAGAGATGCATGTTGTTGAAATTCTCAGACGTGAATGCATTGGGGTGTTTTTGGCTTAGCAAAAGCTAGTTTTGTTTTGCTTTTTTACAACCAGTAACCCAGGTCGGCAGGCAACAGTTAAAGTCTGGATATATCTGTCCTTAAAAACACTGCACTTCAGGCTAGTTTGGTTCATTTGCCAGTCGTCTCACGTTCCTTATGATGATCAAAGGAAGAAATTTGCTCGCTAGACGTCCCCGTCTTTGCCCTCCATTTTGCTCCTGTAGCCTCATCCTAGACAGCTATTCTTCAAATCCAAAAACCTCAGCTTTGCAAAGCTCAATGAGATGGTCTAGTGTGTAAATAATATCGCATCAGCATCCAAAACTGTGTTTCTGAAGTGTTTCTGAAGCATTTTGCAGAAAAAAGCACATAGAAATACCCAAAAGATGAAAAAATACAGAATCATTCGACTGGAGGCTATTGTTTGCATGTATTAGGGGGGCTTGAAATGTTTCCGGAGGTCGGTTAAGGTGGGGCTTTATGCCCTTCACCTGCAGGTGGAAGTGAAGCACTGCATTGATATTGCATGCGAGATGCTCTGCGGCTGCTTCAAGCTGAAGCACATAAAAGGATTGTTAGCATTAAAAAAAGCCGAGTCAGCCCCAGCTCTGACAGCACTTCAGATTTCAGTGTGCTGCTCAAACTGTAAAAGACGAGTAAGTTATGAGTTTACATGCACTTTCTGAAAGCCCCCCCAAAAAAAAAAACAGACATGAATTAGCTGACACGTAGGAGATAAAAGCAGCCGAGCCGTCACACAGAACTCCTGCCATCAGTCGAAAACGTTCCGATCCGATAAATGAAATGACGAAATCCTCCTTCTCCGTCTCAGCTGAGCGCCGGCGTGGTGAGCGCGGGCGCAGCGGGGGGCGTGGTCATCTCGCCCTCCCCGTCTCCGTCCTGCCTGTCGGCGGCCAGCAGCATCGACAACCTGACCACGCCCCTCGGCGACATCACGGTGGCGGGGGCCACCGGCTCCGGCGACGGAGCGTCCGGGTCGGACAGGAAGGAGGGCGAAAGTAGGTGCCCGCCGCCAGCGGGGGGGGGCGCCCCGACCAGAGCGAGCTCCCAGTAACCCCCGCCGTCTCTCTCCCCCCCGCAGCGCTTCTGGACATGACCATCAACCAGTTCCTGAAGAGCCTGGGGCTCGAGCACCTCCGAGATATCTTCCAGCGAGAGCAGGTACCCAAGCATGGCTTTTAGAGAGAGTTTCAACTCTTTTTGAACAGATTTATGCTGCAGTTGTTTCTCAGGTTTGCCTCGAAATTCGCATTTTGCAGCATTAAAAAAAAATTAAATCTCGATTGCCCATAAAACCCTCCAGGTCTGGAGCTTCATTAGTCCTGGTTACACGCAGAAATAGGCACCGCATAACGGGGAGCTGCACATCCTCAGCCCAGCTGAGAGCACGAAGACAAAGTGTGAGAAGTTGGCAGCTCCTGCCAAAAACCCGAACCCCCTCCCCACGCTGCCGGTGAATGACTTGGTAGCTTTTCCCCCCCGGCAAACTAATTGGGCTGCAAAGTTTCCCTCTCCCGTTATCGACGATCAGCGCAGCCCAGGGGAAAGTTCCTCCAGACGCAGGGCGAGGCTCCGATCTACATGAATGAACCCGGGGACACGAGGGCGCGCCCGGCCGTCATCAGCGGGCGCATCAGCGGTGTTATTACCGCCGCCCTCTCGCCGACCTTTTCCTCCTGCCTCTTCTGTTTCATCGTGAATATTTTATTTCCCCAAAATAGAGCAGAGATCATTCCACTCGCGGTAGTTAATGGAGGTCAGTTTTGATGATAAGCTCCATGATGAAGAGATCCATCCATGAAGCGTGTAGGATGGATTTATTTAAGGTTTTTTTCAAATATATATATATATTCACCCCTATGTGGAGATTGCTTTCCGATATGCAAGTCATCCTCAGAGCAAATTTCTTTTCCCCTCAGTTTTACCTTTTGCAAAAACTGACGGGATGTGCTTTTTGTCTCTGGGCAGATTTCACTGGATGTGCTGGCAGACATGGGTCACGAGGAGCTGAAGGAGATCGGCATCAACGCCTACGGGCACAGACACAAACTCATCAAGGGCATTGAGAGGCTGCTGGGTGGCCAGCAGGGTCGGTAGATCCACACCGAGATATACCTACACACACACACACAGCCAAATATTCTACAAATCCGCATTTACCACTCTCATTCTTCAGTCAGTTCTGTTGACCCTCAGAGCTGTTCTTGGTTTAAGTACCTTTTTCTAATCTTTTGTTATAGCCTTCATTCTCTGATAGAAAAAGCTTTCCCATTTGAGGATTTTCTGCCATTCTTCTCAAGCTTTTTCAGATCAAAACGAGAACCAATCAGCGCTCAGCTATTTTAAGGTTTCAAAACTCAGCTGTGTGTTTTCCTTTAAAAGTCGTGTGCAGTGAGCTGCAGAAGTGAACTCCAGATGGTAGCATCTCACACGTGATCGGCATTAGACACTCTAAGCTTTTCTACTGACTGCTTTAGGACACAGTTATGGCCTGATATGGACTTAACGCGGCGAAACCGAATCATCCCTGTTCTCTCTTTGATTCACCTGTAGGTGCCAACCCATACCTGACGTTCCACTGCTCCAGCCAGGGCACTGTGCTGATCGACCTGGCTCCGGACGACAAGGAGTTCCAGTCTGTGGAGGAGGAAGTGAGCACACACACCTACACACACACACGCACGGACCCACCGACCCTTATGGGAAAAGAAATTCATTCAGTTTGACAGTTGTTTTTTTTCTTCTGTTGTTTGTTTTCTTTGCTTTTAACTCATACATACACAGATTTTGGGCATTTGGGAGGACGTAATTTTATGTAAATTACCCACAGGCCTAGTCAGAGTAGCTGGGAGAGTAGGTTCATGCTCGGCTTCATCTCTGGTTCCCGATCGCCCCCCCGTTTCCCCTTTTGTCTGATTTGTCCTGTGCTTGTCGATGCCGTCCCCAGCTACAAAGCACCATCAGAGAGCACCGCGACGGAGGCAACGCAGGCGGAGTCTTCAGCCGGTACAACATCATCAAGGTGCGCCGGTGAAACACACACACTCCCCCCCAAAAAAGAAAGCAGGGGTCTGAGCCGCAGATTTAGTCCCTTTCAGCCAGTTTTGATTTCCTCAGACACACACCCAGTTCACCGCTCATCCCTCCCTCTGCTCCTCTGGATGCAGATTCAGAAGGTGGTGAATAAGAAGCTACGGGAGAGATACGCACACCGGCAGAAGGAGATCGCAGATGAGAATCACAACCACCACAACGAACGCATGCTCTTTCATGGTAACTCGCTTCATTTGACAAGGCAGAGAACGACACGCCACGCTCTGATATCCTAGTTTGATATGTTGATATTAAGTGATTGTATCGTTTACTTTGAAATCACGTCACATTTTGATCATGTTTTATTTGACTTGTTTTAGCTATCCCTCTACACACACATTAATATATTTCCATATTCATGTAATGAATGTCATGCTGAGAAACTGAGCCTTTTTGACAGAATCCCTCAGATTGCCGTATTTTAAAAGAAACAGAAATGCTGTTTAAACTTTCTTCATAACTTTGTTGCAATTAATTGGATTTGGCATTGAGTTTAAAGAAGCTTTAGAGAGTTTTCTGTCTTGCTGCAGCTTCTTATCTGACTAAACAGGGGTTGAGGCTCCAGAAATGGAAGTGGAAGACATGCTTTCCCTCCGGCCGATAACGGCTAAGCTGCCGCTGTGATGCAATTAATCCCTCGTGTCGGATCACTGTGTGAAGAAAGGTTAAATTTTAGATTACGTATAAATATATAATAGCGTACAAAGTTTTATTTTCTGTCTTACTCAACTTATGCAACGATGACACGACAGGTTCAGAGAAAACTTTTTATAAACATGCCAGGCTTTTTTCAGCCTTCCTCTGAGGCTTCTGAACCTGGAGCTTTTACGGACCTCGCAGGAAAGAGAGTTTGAATTGGCTAAAAGAAAAGTGATGCTTGGCTTGATGACACGAAACATAAAAGACCATGCACTAACCTGCAGAGCTGAGCACGACTTCTAAATCCAAAACAATAACATAAAGCGGGAAGCTTCCCGTGTTAGTGCAGCTGGGAGAGTAGGGCTCGTGCAGCCAATCTGGGTTGGGGAAACGGCCATTAGATGAACTCCCCGCCACAGTGTTTTGGTTCTCCCGGCTTCACTTTAAGCTTCAGCCATGCTCGTTTATCATCTTTCCCCTTTCAAACACACCACTTGCTGCCGACACGCTCAAGACCCTCAGTCGGCCCCGGTTTCCTTCAAACTGCTCTCCGCGTAGCTGCAACTCCGCGGAAGTAATCTGGCTTCTCTGATGCCTGAAATTGTGTGTCAGCCATGTTTTTCAGATCATAGATCTCCCAGGCTAACACTGTCACACAGCATCTCTCCACACACTGCTTTTTCCAGGTTTCCATACAGGACGTAAAGGAGATGAGTTTTATTTTTTAAATTTTTATTTTTTGTTGCACATCTCTGACATGCTTTTGCCCTGCCTCCCACCTGCCAGGTTCCCCCTTCATCAACGCCATCATCCATAAGGGCTTCGACGAACGCCACGCCTACATCGGCGGCATGTTTGGCGCCGGCATCTACTTTGCGGAGAACTCCTCCAAAAGCAACCAGTACGTGTACGGGATAGGCGGGGGCACGGGCTGCCCCACCCATAAAGACCGCTCCTGCTACGTGTGCCACAGGTGAGCGGGTTAGAGGAAGAGGCTAAGGCCTAAAAAAGTTTTTTTTTGGTTTTAAATCAAAACGCTGGCATTTGGCTGACTCTTGCTTCCTTCTCTGCCTGTTTGCGTGTAGACAGATGCTGTTCTGCAGGGTGACGCTCGGAAAGTCATTCCTTCAGTTCAGCGCCATGAAGATGGCCCACGCCCCCCCCGGGCACCACTCTGTCATAGGGCGCCCCAGCGTCAACGGCCTGGCGTATGCGGAGTACGTCATCTACAGAGGGGAGCAGGTCAGGGCTCGCTTTAGACACCGTCACAGTTATCACACATGCAAACCATTTTTTAAAGTTATACCTGGACCAATATCACATCCATGCTTTCTCTGCCCTCAGGCTTACCCAGAATACTTGATCACCTACCAGATTGTGAAGCCGGAGAGTGTGGCGCCGCCTGCTGCCACCGCTGAGCAGAAGTCCTAAAAGGCGCCCACAGCCGGATCTGTAAACTGTAAACTGACCAGAACCTTTTGGGCATAAGCCCCTTTCTATAAAAAACAAAAAACAAACGAAGAAAAAACGAAAGGCCAGAACTGAACAATCAAGCCACCTGAAATCTCCTGAGCGAAAGGTGACGCAAAGTGAGGAAGGGGCGGGAGTCACATGACCCCTGTGAGCACGCCGTGTCTCTCAACAGGAGGAGGAGGAGTTCCGGGAGACTCCTTAATTAGTCCTCTTTTTTTCAGGGGGAAAGCGAACAAGGTGCTCGCTGTGTTTGTGGATGTTACCAGGAAGCTTCTTTTTTTTTTTCTCCTGTCTTTTGTCACAGCTTGATCTAACAGAAAAAAAAAAAACACAAACACGGCTGCTTTGGCACCTACGAGCTGCTCATGTGCTCTGCCCGCAGGATTTTTTTTAATGGCTTGTTTTGATGCTGTGTCCTCCTCTGCCTGTGTGCATCACCCACAACAACAGCCCCAGGGTCACTTTTGGAAGCCGCCGTTTGTTGTTTTTTTCCTGCTGAGAACAGAAATCCTGGGCTTTTTATTTTTATTTTTATGGTCACCACCGTTTTTGCGCCCTCTTAAGCCGACGTAAACAAGATACCGAAGACCAAAACCGTGCAGCGTGGATAGGCCAGTGAGGCTACTGTGGTGGAATTGCTCCCGGCACACCGGGGAGCAGAGGGAACATCATTTAAAAAAAATAATAATAAAACTAACCGCTGCTGCTTCCTGCTAGCACCCACACGGGGACCAGAGCCTCATCAGGAAGTGACCGCTCCGCATCGAGCCCACGTCTGAACAAGAGGATGGACAGTAACAATAACCGTTGGTCAGAAAGGGGGAGGGGTCAGAGGTGAAGTCCCACCTCTGCCCTCGCTGATCCCTGAGGGGGGGTGGAGGACTGAAACCGTGCAAACGGTTCGGACGGCCTAAAGGTGGCAGTTGCAGAGTGTGATGCAGGACTTTGTTTATACAGTGTGTAAACTGCTGTACCAAAACATCCCACCTACTGATTTTTTTATTTTATTTTATTTTCGTGCTGCAAATGGTATGTTATGCCCCCCTCCTTTTACCGGTGAACGTTTTAGTTATACAGGCCCAATAAGATAAACGCAAAAGATCACAAGAACGTTTGACACACAGTAGAGTGGAGAACCTGAATGTATGCTGAGGTGGAATGTGCCTAACCGGGAAACAAGAAAACTTTATCATGAGCCCCACTTTTCTCGCCCGTCTTAATGACACGTTTCACAGCGTGTGTTTTCCTCTTGTGTCCCCTCAGATGATCATCTGAGTGTTTACAGGACCCCGCTGCCTTCTCCTCCCTTTCCCATCCCTCTTCCCTGGCCCGCCGCTGCCCCCTAGTGGCACAGCAGGCCAACTGCTCAGTTGTGCGCATCTAAGGCATTCTCTCTTTTTTTTTTATTTTGCAGATGTCATTTATTTATTTATTTTTTATTTTTTGGCACGGTTTGGGGAGGAGCCGCCCTGAACGCTTTCCCGAGTTTACACACCTTAAGTTAAATGTGAATAGCCAAGCCTCATTACTGGTTCCAGCCGGCTGCCGACAGGGAGCGGGATCAATAAGATATTTATACAAGCGGCTGTCCGCGGGCCGGCTGAAACCAGGATAAGTGCGCTGCGCTTAAGGACGAGGTCTGAGCATTAGTGGAAGTGTGCCTGCTAACCCAGTGCAGAACGTCACAGAAAAGAAAAAGAGGAGCACTCCTCACACCACAGAATGTAAGCCACTTTGGGGTTTTTATTTCTTTTTTTTTTTTCCCTTCAGTTAGTGAAGTTATCTTTAAACAAAGACACTATTCGTCTCATGGGACCACGTGAGTTTAGTCAAACCCCTGGTGTAAGGGAAGGCTGCTGTTAAGCAGGCAGGCCTGCCTTTTGTTTGTTTAGTGGCTGTGAAAGCGGCCGTGAGAGCTTTGAACAACGAGAACGCTGCCTTAAAGCAAGTCGAAAGTGTTAGTAGCTTTCTGACAGACATCTTTAAAGAGAGGACGGGTCGGTGATAATGTCAAACACTTTGACCCGTGGCTAACCTCAGAGTATTTTCCAGTAGTCAGGAGCCCTCCCATCAGCCTTTGCCTCTATTTCAACCTCCAAACATGCCAATGATGGAGCGTTGGCCCCTGTGCCCCAAGGATTTGATCAGCTGCCCTTTCCAGCAAATTATAGATGGATTCATGGCAGGGAAAAACAACGCTTTAAGGAATCAGTGGACAGATAAACGATGGACGGAGAAAAGCTGATATTCCTGAAAATGACAGTTAACGGTGAGCAGCTCAGCGAGAAATCTGAAAAAATCCGACCGATCAAGGCTGTTTATTTGGTCCCGGTTTTGATGAGGTTGTTCCCCGTGCCCCCCGAGCAGACCCGGGAGCTGTGGGCTTTGTTTTAAATTAGACTGTGAGAGATGGCTCCACCCGGGCCCTTTAACGGGGTTCTTACCGAGGCTTTTATGTTTATTTTTCTCATCTTTCCCAACGGAAAGCGCTCACGCTTATCTATTTTTTTATAAAGTCAGTACTGATTTGACTTAAGAGGCAGTCAGCCACCTTGCTGTAAATAGATTTGAGGGTGTGTGTGTGTGTGTGTGTGTTTGTACAGTCACCCCTTGCCTCACTCACCCGTCTCCTTCTAAAAGCCACCAGCTGAATCAACACATTTGCGTTACTGGTTTTGGTTTGAGCTCCTGTTGTACAGACACTTGTACAGAGCTGGCCGTCAGCTAACACGTCCACACACAGACACTCCTGTGCAGAAAAGAAAAAAAGAAACAAAAACAACTTAATAAAACAATTTAAGCCGTACTCCTGTGGTTTGCTTTTTATTTTCTCTTTGTGTCTCGATCGAGCACCGAGGTCGGATTTCTCATGCTGTTTGAAAGTGAAATCTGGTTTCTAGTCCAGCATTTGAAAGGTTTCTTAAGGAAGAAAAAGGAGCATCTGTTTAGTTGGTGGGTGAAATGAGGAAAGCTGCTCCCCTTGTCTTTACTCATCTTCCTGCTCGTGCTGTTTTTTTCCCCACAGATCTTCTTGTGTTAGTTGGAGATGAGTGACCGGGGGCAGTTTAATCATTCAGCAGCGCGGCCACCGTCAGACCGCCATTAAGACCAGGCGCGTGCCATTGGTCTGGTTTGTCTGATGCATCACCACGGTGGGAAACAGCAGGATAAGAAAGCTAATTAATGATTTTTAGTCCTTTTTATTCTTCTTCTAGCCAGTGACACAGGCAAAAATAACCGGGGTGTTGCCCTTCTAATGATGTGTTGCACATATAAGGGGATCAGTTCTATTCTGTTATCCCATCAGGCCGGCTCACTGAGTTCTAAACTTTATGCTGTGTTGTGTTTTCTAGTTTGTGCTCTGCTTTAAACCCGCTGTGCAGAAGCAGTAGCCTTAAGGAGTCAGAGTGGGTACCTTTAAACCTGCTTTTTGGATGTCCAGGGTCCAGTTTCCTGGTCTGGTGTTTAGACCAGGATGCAAAGTATCCTGATGCTTTTATGGAGGAGGAAGCGGAAGATGTACCAAGAGGTAAGACCCTATAGGGGTGTGAAACATGAAAGTTCAATCTACAGAGCTGAAAATAGTCTTCTTTTGTGTGTGTGTTTGTGAGTAAAGTTTAGTTAGGCTAATTTTGGAAGATTTCTTAGGATAATTGTTTTTCCCCGTCAGTCCTTTAATTTTTTTTACATGCAACTTTACTGGTTACTTAAAGCAAACTTTAAAAAAAAAAATTAAAAAAAAAGCAGACACAAGATGGCGTCTCGTGTCCAGCCTCCTTCTTCCACCACTCAGCCAAATCCAACAATCTGTGTTCTTATATACCCACCAGGTATTTGATGGTAATGGCTATGGGATGTGAGTTGCTTTCTTTCAATGGATTTATTAGGATTTTAAGTGGTAAGATTAATCCTATCTGGTAAATCAGTGTCACCCCTCCTTCCCCACCTGTAGAAAAACTCTTTAAAAAATGGCCGACACAAAAATGACTGAATACTGTTTACTTGCTTGTCCTTTATGGTTGCCTGAAAGACCGCTCCTTTATAAATATAGATATAGAAACCACTTGCTTCTTTGAATCTTCTCATTGGACTTATCCTTATAATTCAATTAAAATTCCAAATATATCTGTAGCTCAATAATGAGGCAGCACATCATTAAAAACATGAATAATCAAGGAAATTCAAGTAGGCTAATTCAAGGCAATCATGAGTAACAATACATTTTTTTGTAGGTGCAAAAAAACAATGTCTGGGATGTGTCAAAAGCAAAATCTAGATATAAAGAATAATAAGAATAATAAAGAATAACTCAAAGGGTCAATGGCGAGGTTATAAAGCATTGACATGTGAATAGTGCATCCATTTTTCTTTATTTCAGCCCAGAAAAGATAGTTTTTTCTTTTAGTAGTCTAAAACTGGAAGCGTAGGCAGCATTATTTCTGCCAGCTGTGGTCATTTCTCACCCATGTGTATTGCAAAGCAGATTTCTGGCTGGTTTTATCAGTGCTTGAGAACAGGAGACTAAAGAATCGAAGCAGCTCTCGATCCATAAAATCCATAAAACTGATGTATTCACTTAATCTCCCCCCTTTATTCTCTACACTTCAAAATATGCATCTGAGCTCTAAACATAAGATGTGGTTTGTGTGATGGACCATTTACCATTCCCCCCCCCCCCTCATCCACCGTCCGAGCACCATATATGGAGATCCTGTCCCCGGCCCTGGTTTTCTCCTGTTTGAGTGTCACCGTCTGGGAAAAACAAAGCTGAGCGTGCAGAAGTGAGTGTTCCCACCAGAGGAGGGAGCTGTTCGCTCACATTCAGATCAGCACAGGGCTCACCTGGGCCTCAACAGTAAACAAACCCCCTGCTCTACCATTTGAAAAATCATTTCTGTTTGCTTTTTCACCGCTCAAAAGATATGAGTTCAGCTCTGTTTCTGGTCATACTGGCTCTGAGTCGGTGTTAACTAAGTAAGGACTCTTCCTTTACCAAAGGAAACTAGTCATAACCAGTTTTATCTCCCTGGAAAATGCAAAGACGTAACCCTCTCTTTCAATGCAGTTTAAATGTAAGAACTAAGTTCCAATTGTATTCTCATTACTGAACTGAATGGAAGCAGAGAAGCTGTTTTTTTTTCTCTCCAAACAGTCTTCTACTTTCACAGTAATTCCATTTTATATCTTTAATTAATTTTCTTTTGAATTTTCCTCTTAATTGCCATTTTCAGTTCAGAAACTTTCATCTGGTCAAAAATAATCCCCTGTATCATCGTTAGTTATTGTTTTTCTGTGTTCAAATATTGTGCGACACCATAGCAGAAGAAAAAAGCACACCCACACAAACGGCTTCCTTAAGAACATTGTTTATTCAACAGTGGATCTTCAGTAATAAATAAATGTACAGCTCATTCGCTCTACAATAAAACTGGAGGGAGGAAAAAAACAACAGTTTTTTTTCCTTTCTTTCTGATATTGCCATGACGAGTGGACAGCACTGAGTGGACAGAGACACGGCCGGGACAGGCGGACCGACACGGAGACCGATGGGTACGAACCACACAGACAGAAAGTGTACAAAGTATTGCATTTCTCACTGATTGGCCCTCCTCTCTCTCTCTCTCTCTCTCTCTTTCCTGGACGCGCGGCACGTGGTCGAGTCAGCCCGCCATCTCCACCGTGTGCAAATCAAAAACATAAACTACAGCTCAAGTATTGCATCACTTCAAAGTGCTACACAGATCCAGACAGTCCTCGAAGACAGAGAAGGTTCGGTTCGCTTTGAGACCTTTTGTGTGTGTGTGTGTGTGTGTGTCTTTTCATGGTTCATACTTTTACTGTAGAAAACCGTGTTGTCATGACGGGTCTGGCAGCTGCCCTGTGCTTTGGGAGTACAGCAGCTTATGTTGACTTGAGGATTTGAAATAAACGCTTCTGTTTGGCTGGGCGGACCGGCACGGGGACGCCTGAATCCGGGGGGGACACCTTCATGAGCAAGGCACAAACACCCAAAAGGACCATCGGCTCATCATGTGCAGTAATGTGTCTTTTTTTTTTTGCCCAGCAACTAAAGAAAAACAGGAGAATTTTCCAAGGCACCTAACAGGGATCTCGTGTGGTTCAGGTCCGTCCGGTCTGCCGTTAAAACAGCCGGGCTGAAACCAGCCGAGGCCCCGGTCTTAGAAGCTGTGAATGTTTTGGAAAAATCATCGACTGGGGTGGGGGGAAATGTAACCAATTGAAAAATGACCAAACCACCTGTGTATCGGGGGCTTTCCTAAAACGTGTCGGGGTCCCCGGTCCGTTTTACGAGGGCCCCCGGCCTGCGTTTGGCCTCTTATTTGATTTATTTAGCCTCTTTGTTGGAGGGGGGGGAGGGGGGGGGGGGGGGGGGCTCAGGCAGGCTGGAGATGAGAGGATGAGGAGGAGGCTGGGAATATAAAAGGGGATGAAAAGGAGATGAGAGGAAGGTGTGGGGCAGAGACGGGGAAAGGAAGAGGACGTATCGAGGACAGGAAGCTCCGGTCGGATCCCTGGCAGAGCACCTGTCACTGAAGAGCTCCTGCTTTCCCTCATCCCCCACCCCCCCCCCCTCCCCTGTCTCCCCCCAAACATCTATCTTTTGTCTGGCAACAGGAGGGACACCCCAAAGAGGAAAGAGCGGGTGCTTACAATTCCTCCTTCCTTCCTGTGTCCATCTCCTCTCCTAAAGACCTCGTCTCCATGGCAACAGGCTGTCTTCATACTGAGCTTATTCAGCCGCTGATCGGGAATGTGTGCGCATGTGTGAGCGTGTGGGAGAGAGAAGGAGAGTCTGGCTTGCTGTGCAGGCCTCTCTGTGTCTGTTTTTTTGTTTTTTTTTCTGTGCCTCCGTTGGAAGAAAGTGTGTCTCCAGAGGACGTCAAGTCCAGGCCTCCGGCCGAGCGCGCTTACAGTGACCAGTTCAGAAGGCCAGTTAGTTTTTTTGTCTGTTTGTGTTTTTTTGGTAAGCTGGAAGGAGCTTCGGCCGGGTCGCGGGCTGCCAAGAAAAGAAAAAAGTTCCACCGCCGTTCTCCCAGACGGGCGCCGCCCTGCGCCCTGGAAGCATGTCCGCACCGCGGCGGTCACTGTGGGGGAGGGAGGGAGGGGGGAGGGAGGTGTCCATCAGCAGCCGGGGGACGTCGTGATGGGGCTGTGGTGCAGGTAGGCCGGGTTGACCACCGACACGGGGAAGTTGAAGATGAACGGGGAGGTGGGCGTGGCGGCGGTGGCGGCGGCGCCCGCCGAGGGCTTGGGCCCCAGCAGCGGGCTGGCCGTGGCCGCCGCCGCCTCGGCCGCGCAGGAGGTGGCCAGCACCTGCGACTCGAACTGCAGCAGCTGGCCCATGAAGCTGAAGTTGGGCGAGATGATGCTGCGGCGCCGGCGCACGAACTCGAAGGCCTCGTCCAGACGCACGCGCTTCCGCTTCATCAGGTAGGCCAGGCAGATGGTGGCCGAGCGGGAGATGCCCGCCTGGCAGTGGACCAGCACGCGCCCGCTGGAGTCCCGCACCGAGTCTGAGGGGAAAACGGGGGAGGTCAGAGGTCAGAGCTGGCGCCAAACCTCGGCACAAATGTAAACGTCAGCCCCCCGGTTTTCAGATCCAATCATGCCGGCCAATAAACCGCAGCCTTTGTTTTTTTTTTTATCGAGCTCCTCTTGATAAAAGTATTAATTTAAATACAACCCTTATTCCGGCCTCACTCAGTCATATTGGGAAGTCAAACTCTGACTAGTGCCTCACGGCGCCGCCTCACCGCAGACGGCCTCCATTTCCTGTCCTCGCCACATTCGTGCTTAGCTGTGCAGTCGCGCTGATGGCTAACCCCGGCGTGGGAAAGCAGCAAGTAATGTACAGTAACCGAAAGGCGCCAGTGCGGCGTTTGAGTCATCGGCCTCTCTTTCACACTTCCTCCTCAGCTCTATTTCAGGCGCTGCCTCGTTAATAAAGAGATGCATGCGATCACTTTATTACGGAGAATAACCGTGTTTAGGGGGGGGGGATAGTTGATTAAGGCATTTACACTAATCCAATTTCCCCGAGCAGCCCCGCTTCATGTCACGTCTTGGAGCACGTGCTGAGGCCTCCAGGAAATGATGGAGGCACAGGAAGCAAAGAGGAAGAAACGGGGCCTGTTTTCCCAAGTTTGTGAACTTGATCTAATTTTCTGTGTCTCTAGACCTTCTTAGAAGTTCACTGAGCCGCATTCTTTCTGCATGTCATTTCAAATGTTAGACTACTGCTAACAACTGCCCTCACGTCGTTTGCGTCTGTATTTTCCACCTCAGTCTTTTGAACATTTTCGGCCGAATCCGTCTGTATTTTCTGCCTCAATCCGTCTCTGTCACACAGACGGGTTTAAAGTAACTCCACCACAGCGTCGGTTCGCTCGGTAACAGTGGATGAGTCAGACTCTGGTCCCACGGCAGCTAACTATGACGCATACCAGCACCTACACCTACACACACACCACAGCGCACGCTCCCAGATATACATTCTCAGAACGCAATGTCGAATCTGGATGTGCTGCGCTTGTAACCAAAGAAAAAAAACACAAAAAACAACCATCTACTTGAATCCACAAACTCAGGCTGCAGAGAAATGATGCATCTGGGTTCTGAACCCTTTGGCCTATGGGAGGGCTTCTCTCTGTGGGTTGGGCAGCTCAGACTCACCGATGAACTCGATGGCCTCCAGGAACCAGCAGCTGATGTCCTCCTTGTGGTTGTCCTCCACCGGGATGCACTTGTACTGGTAGGCGCCCTCGAAGTGGTTGGGGCAGTCAGCCGACACATTGAGCAGGGCGGAGATTCCGATGGCGTCCAGCACCTCCTTCTTTGAGGCGTGAAGGGCGCTGCCAAGGTAGAGGAAGGGGAGGATCTCCACGGGGCCGCCCTGGACACGACAAAAACGGGGAGGAAATTACAGATGTTTAGTTTATTGTTATTTTATTCATCAGTCCTATCGATAATCTTTGAGTCGGTCGGCCTTCAGTGCCGCTCCTGACCCCCGGCTGCTTTGGCAGCCATCTTGGAGCGAACGTTGTCAGATGAAAGCGAGTGTGCACGACGAGACAAAGGACTCCCTGTCTCAGCGAGCAGCAGAGGCCACGTACTGGATGACTGTGTGACCCCGCCGGGATGTTTTGATAATCACATTAGCCGTGCATCTCGTCGGACAGGAGCAGCTTTTTATTTATTCATAGTTATTTTTATCTCTTTGAGCAACTCCGGCTGCTTCAAAATGGGCCGTTTAGAGCGTCTCTAAGTGCCTCGAGCCCAGCTATCTTCAAACCGCCTCAAACTGGAGGATGCCCCGGAAAACGCCGGCCCGCTTCCTGCTTCTCTCGGCTGCTCGAAAAAAAAAAAGAATCTGCTGGGCGGCAGCTTTTCGCCAGCGTGAGCTCTTGTCAGCAACACGTCTGCAGCTGCTACTGTGCAAGCAGAAAAAGCCCAGCGCGGAGCATGAGGACATGCCGAAGGGATGAATATTCATGAGGTTTCCTAAAGAACGGAAGCATCTGCGGCAGCGTGAAACGGGCACGACCCATTTGTTGGGATCCACAGAGTCCCACTCCTGTCCCATGTCACGGGCCCAACAGCAATCAGAGCAGCTTGCGTGTTTGGATTCAGACTCTACTGAACACTGTAAAAACAATGAGATTCTCCAGTCTACATTTACACAGAATCTGCGTTTGAAGGCACCGAATCCGGTTTTGAGCAGTAATTTTGGGTCTGGTTATCCACAGAGGAGCGGAAGGAGGCCGGCCCTCTAGGGTCAGGGTCAGGATCGGTTAGGTCGGTTTGTCGGCAGCAGTCCATACCGGCAGAGCAAATTATTGACTACAGCTCTGTGTGTTTATGTCACCGCTGCTGACGAACTCTGTACTGACACAGACTCAGGAAATGATCAATACCGCTAAGAGATGTAGCGCGAGCGAGGGTGGTGGAGAGGGAACGGCATGAAAATGAGCGCTGCCACAGGAAGTGGAAGCGTCACTGCAATGAAAATGCACCAGACAATCTCGCTTTTTTTTTTTTTTTGGCCTTCTTAAAACACACAGACACGCGCACACACACACAGAGGCTGCACTGTCTCTCCCCTCGTGCATTCCTGGGGAATTATACCCGAAGAACATGTGACTGCGAGCGTTGCATAAAATCTGCAGGCTCATACAACAGATCTCTGTCCAACAAAACAAGCCCAGCCAGGTCACAGGAAGCGCTGCGGAGCGGGATCAATGCTCAACTGTGACATCCAGGCCATTGTGAGGGGAAACGCCGGATTTATAGCCCAGCGCTTCACAGGCCAACAGTTTCTGTTTACAATAAAAAAAAAAATCTGACCAAACAAGACAGTCTAAATAATTCATCTAACAAATATGGCCGTAGACCACAAAAAAGCTGCTCCTTTTCCCTCTTTATATTTGTGTGTGAACTGATAACTTTGAGTCTAACCATTGACAGCTCTTTGTTCTGCTTTCTTCAAACTGCTTGCAGGCTGCAAACCTGCTCAGACTAGCTGGGGACGGCGTGGCGGTGCGTTTTACCTGGTCATTGTGCGGCGTTCCACATGACGAGCAGGAAGAGTCCACACTGGACTGGCTGGTGAGGGAATGTAAGGATTTGGTCTTTATACAAAACTCCGGGTACTCTGTGAAAAATCTGTCGTATCCTCCTGGAAAACAGAAAAAAAAAGGACACCGTGATCAGACACGCCATGACGAATAGCTTCAAAAGTTCAATTTGCCACAGACTCGAAGAGACAAGAAGGGAATTTTGATAGAGACTGGCTGTGGTTTGGCTATTTTAAAATCACCCCACAGAGGCAGACAAAGCATCCCAGTTCAATTTCCAGAGCCCCGACACGCTGCTGTGTGTTGTTGCTGCTGTGGGTTGTTTTTTTAAATCTTTATTTTTTACGAAGTCTTCTGTTTTTCATTTCATATTCGACTGTAGGCGGACCGCTGCTGTAAGCACCTCAAGTAGCAAAACCACATAAACCGAGACGTGCCATCTTTGAAAGCAGCACGCTCTCTCCAGCATCTGCCTAGTTAGGATGCTCAAACACCGGGAATGAGGCACAGCTCTCAGCCGTTTGGCTTTCACAGATTCCCCTCGGTCTAAATGAAGGTGGAACAAAGCCATTGATCTTTTTTCCCCCCCCTTATAATTTATGTATTTCCTCCCTTCCCATCGGTAATTTGTCCGCAGCTGGCTCTTTGTGACATGATCACGGGTGTGCTGGGTGTTTCTCCTCTTTGATGTGGCTTCTACGCATTTGCATTACCTCATTCATTCAGGTCCCAGCCATTGGACTGTGTCTGGATGTGTGTGAGGATGAGTGAGGGAAAGTGTCTATTGACAAATAAGACTCCCCAAACAGACAAGGCAGCCAGCAGGCTGGCCTCCAGCTCCATATGATGGCATTATTATACTGCTATAAATAAAAAATAAAATGAAAATAAAATGACAAAAAAATATATATTATCTAATCTCAGCTGTAGCCTAAAATTCCAAAATAAAAACAATAACAATTTACAACAATTTCATCACATACTCTGAGTGAATGTACCTCTATTATTTACCCAGTACTTTTTGGACATTGTTTCTCCTTCCAATTGGCGCTGAGCTTTTCTTTCCATTTTCTCCCAACTACATTTTACTCCCCAAATGCGTATTTATGAAGTATTAAAAGATAGTGAACACTATATGCCAAATTGAGCAATACAATTTTTTTTTTTTAAATGTCACCGGCTGGAACTCGTTCCCTCCACGCGCGCGCTTAACCACCCTAAACGAGCGAGTCGCACGCGACCCGCGAGGTGTTTTTTACCTTTGAGCAGGTAGGCGCGTGTCCCCCGGGAGTCCCTGAGCAGCGCGTGCAGCACCAGCGTCACGGTGCTGTCCTCCTTCACCGCCTCGGCGTCCTGCGTCCGCTCGTCGTACAGCACGGCGGCGGAGTACATGCCGGAGCGCAGGCGGGCCCGCGCCTCCTCGTCCCCGGCCAGGACCTGCTCCAGGCTCAGCGCGGAGCCCTTGGCCCTCCGCCGGACGATGGTGTTGCAGCGGGCGTTCACCGCGCCCCGGATGTGCCCCGCGCTGTGGGCCAGGAAGGAGCGGCAGTCCAGCAGCAGGCACTTGCCGCCGTCGTCCTTCAGGAGCCGCTTGAGCACCGAGCAGTCCATCTCGCACAGGTCCTCCATGGCGACTCGGTTCAGACTTGCGAGCGGATGCGGTTTTTTGTTTGGCGTTTCGACTGTCGTTTCCACTTCTCGGTTTCTCTCTCTCGTGGTCTCTCTCTATAGGAGCCCCAAGCTCGCGCCTCTCGTCTATTCGCGCATTCTAAACTCAATGCTCAGTTGTTGTTTTTGTTTTCGTTAACGTCCAGTCCGGTCCGCCGTTCGTCTTTCGCCTTCTGCCTCTCCGCTGCGTTTCTCCTCGAGAGTCTTTCGTTTTTCTTTTTCTTTTTTCTTCTTCTTTTTTTTGTGAATGGATGCATCGCGTCATGGCGGAGGTGACGTCAACCGACGGCAGCCAATCGCGAAGCGCCGATCTTCCCCATGCCCTGTCCTCCTCCGCCGTCCATTCATGAAAAAGAAAAAACATCAATGAAAGTTGAGGCTGTGAGAATGGCGATTAATCCCCACAAGGCAACGTTTCAATGTGACTTCAAATGTTGGCTTCCGTGGAGTAAATGTGACTGGATATTCCGTTTTCCATTTTCTAAAATAGCTTCCCTTAATGATATTCTTCCTTTCTTTCTCACTTCGTCTAAAAACGTGCAAAAAAAACAGTGCTTAAATAATATACTAGTACATAGTCAACCAAGAATGAATCTTACGACTGGAAATGTAGGTTGAGTAAGCAAAATGGAATTATATTCTTCAGGAAAATACATAATTATATCATGTTTCACTTCTTGTTTTACTTTACAAAAATGGTTCTATTCTACCCAGAAAATAATCTTCACACACCAGATTTATAATATGTCAAATAAACAACTGTAATTACTAAAAGTCAAATTATTCTAGTGTCCATCACGGCTTTAACGCATCTCATGAAATCTACTTTAAACTGTTGTAAATTATCTTGGCACCCATCTCATCAGTGTGGTTGTGGGTTGGACTGTAGGTGGAAGTGCTCAGTGCACACACACACACACGCACACACACACACACATACGCACACACACACACTGTATACGTCTGAGAGTGCATCTGCGTGAGCGTGGGTGTCTAATCCATACAAGCGGATGCAATTTGCATCTCCTATCACACAGGCCTCTGAGTGTGCTCAGGTATTTGCATGTTGATCTCATTTCCATGGTTACGGAGGAAAGAGAACAGCTCGGCGGCGGATGACAGGAAGAAAAATTCAGACAAAAACAGACTGAAAGTAAAGCTGTCTGGTTGAGACAGACAGAGAGGGGGGAGTCACATGGGCAGGGTTACTGTGTGAACATGGAGTTATGGATGGGTGATATATGTACATGAAGATCTGTGTCTCTAAGGGTTAGAAATGGTGAGAATTTGAATTATTTTGACATATATTCCAAGCAATGGTACATGCAATACAAGTATAATATGCTGAAAAACATTAGCTCACAGAATATCTGGAACCGGAGGCTGTGTTCCTACTCAATCACAAAAAAATATACATCTTTACACCTTCGTTTCATATTATGTGCCTTCCCTCGCTATATATTTGTTTCCAGCTCTTAGATCAGATCACATGAGTTATTATCCCATATGTGTGACAGATCCTTTATGAAATGGGAATGAAAGCCCCGGTAGTCTGATCTGACAAAATGAGATCATCCCAGACTGTACAGCTCCGCTTTCGTAATGAGGGCAGAGTGACATCAGTGCCCCTCAGCATAGATTCTCCCAATCTTTAAAACCCCCACCTATCTATAACACAATACTCCCCCGCTGGTGGTTTTTGATGCTGGTGGCTGCTGTCTAACGCCCGTCTTTTTCTGCGTAACAGATTCTGTGAAGTATACATCATGAAAATGAATGCTGAGGAAGCTGAAGTCAGACGTCCTGACGGCACAGTATGCAAATGCAGCGGCTGCCGCGAGCTCTGCAGCACACTTAAGTCATGAGCAGAAGGACTGGAAGGAGAAAGTAAGATGCCAGATGGAGGCCAAGGCGGCGGCGCACAGAAAAAGGCGGAAATGAAAGGTGGGAAATGACAAGGAGGGAGGGATTTAAATGTGAAAAAGAAAAAAAAGAAGAGGAGCAAATCTGTGGCACTGAGCAGATATCCTTGCCCATATTAACTACACCACGCCGCACTACTATCAACCCCAAAACAATGCCTCCAATAGGCGGGATGGTGCTACCGCCGTAGCAACAAGGGAGAGGTGTGGGAAGGCGGGGATGGCAGGCAGGGGGGCTGTGAGGGGATTGGCCAAAGAGATACTCTGCGGTGATGTCATCCCTCCCCTCCGCTGCTCTCTTGTGTCCATCCATTCATCCTCTCACATCACATCCTTCGGCTGCATGCCGTCATCCATCAATACAGTGGATGAGATGGAGGGAGAGGAGGAGGGTAAACATTCCCTTTCCTCCTCCTCCCTCTATTTGCTCCATTTTCGCATCTCTGTTAATAATATGACATGGCTGCAAAAGCAACAAAAAAAAACAAAGCAACAAAAGATTTCCTCATCATCCTTTTCTCTGTGTTATAGTATAATGGATCCTTATTGGATATAGTTTTGAAATGGAATCAGTTTATTCAGTATATGGGTCAGCTAAACCAAAAAATTCCCACATGCCCGGATGACAGCAGAGACTCTCCTCAGAAGGTGACAACAGCCCGAGACAATTTACAGCTGTGCCTCAGTAGGTAGAGCGGGTCGTCCATCACAGCCAGACTCCTCCTGTCTGGATGTCCAACTCCAGTGTCCTTGAGCAACAGGACAGGGAACAAATTGCTCCAGAGGGCCGGACTGGCACTTTGAATCATTGCCCAGGGAGCAAACTACTAAAAATAACTCTTTTTAAAAGAGTTAAATGATCCAAATCTGCTCATTGAAAATATGTAATTAGCTATCAGGTGTTGTTACCTTTGTGCTTATGAATCCGACTGACTTTCAGAAGATGAACTTTCTTCATTGTTATTATTACCGTTCCTATTAGTGTCCTCTACCAAGTGCATGGGACTTCTACACTAGAGTCAAGGGATGGAAAAAATACAACTTTTGTGGACTAATCGTTTTGTTGGATTACCCTCACAGAACATTGACTAAACCCACCACACCACCGACTGTAGAGGCACATTATAATACCGCCCATCAACCAGCGTAATACTTCTGTTGTTGGTGTTTTTTAAAGCTTTACGATACTTGTCTTGCTGTTACATCTTGATCCGTTCTGGTAGAGGTGACCATATTTGGACAATGGGTTGGAACTGGTAACAGGAAGCTGATATCTCTTTGGATTATTGCAGGTATCCATGTCAGTAATCTGTATGATAATAACAACAAAGAAACCTGGTTTCTTCTAATGTCGATAGGATGTAAATGCTTTTGGAATGGGACATTTCTTGTTTTGATAGTCACACTGCAGAGTTAATTTCGGTGGCCTTGCCCCTAAAGGCTCCTCCTTGGTGGCTTTGCTGGCTACAATCATCCTGTGAGCAATGAAACGGTTCCCAATGGAACCTTTAACATACCAATCGAGTTGTGTCTGAACTAACCTGGTATGACCTCCACTAAATCTTGAAGTCTTGTCACCAATCCTGACTTATCTGAACGGGGGCTTCTATCAAAAACAAAATACAGTTATCAGGCTTTCCAGTTAGCTTATACGTCGTCAGAATTCACCAAATGCTGAATCTTTCTGTTCAGAGTAGGTGCTTTTAATACCATGCTACTAATGAGAGTTGGTAATCAATAGTTTGACCACTATTTATGCTTGAGCCCCATAATGGAAACTCCTGTGTAGATGGAATGTACAGCCCTCGAGGCCAAACTATTTAACCACCGGCATACAATAAGAAACAACGCATGCAGCCAGACTGGTGTCACTGTTGTGTGTTGCATGTGCACACACACTAAATCTGACCCTCTCTCTAATCTGATAATCCAGCGATTAACCCTAGACCGAACGCTGGCATGTTTATTATGAATGAGTTTGTGTCATTTGCCATGTGTATGTGTTTAGTGACCAAGAGGGGGGCAGTGTGCACGTGTGTGTGTGTGTGTGTGTGTGTGTGTGTGTTAGAGGACGCAGACAATGAAAACCCAAAAAAACCAAGAGGTAGAGATGCTTTATGGAGTGACGGGGGGGAAAGGTAAATCACCAGAAAAAAATTCAACATAAAAACAAGGTTGAGGAAGAAAGAGGGCAGTGGAGAGAAGCCAGAGGAGTTAAGCAGCGGAAGTGGGCCGTGGTTCAGTGCGGTGGGGTGGGGGGGCGGCTGTAACTGTGTTTGGATGTGAGCTAGATACGGGTTGATGTGTATACAGTGCAGAGTTTTAAGTTTCAGAGGGCGAAACCTGTCATTACACTTTATTAACCTCTGAAGAAATAAAAGCATGAACGGCATTTAACTCCACTGTTCTGCCCGTCGGATGAGTGCATCAATGTAAGAATGACACACAAATCTGACACAGATTTATCCACAAGACAGAGGAAAAGGGAGACCATGGCATTAAGACCACCGGATGCTATTGCCCCTTTTTGTTTGAGTTTTCTTATCTGTCGGAAAAACAGTGGATGATTCCTGGAGATCAGAGCTGATGATGAAACTCTTTCGGCTCCCTTTTAAGTCCATGCAGTGTTTATCCGCTGTTGTTTGAGGAGACTGAGTCGGTTAATTAGTAATTTGTCTAACTGGTTACTAAGTGCTTTATGCTGATTTCAGTGGGTGAGCACACAAACACACAACCGCACACAAACGTCCTTATTTGTCTGGACCTCACATGCAAGCCCATTGAGCCCAAGGATGCAAACACAGAAAACACATACACACACACACACACACACATGCCTTAATGCCTTAGCAGTGTTCTTGTTTGACCGCTGTGCAGCTTACTTCCTTTACTGCCCTGAGCAGCAAGACTTTGACGTCTGCTATGAACAAGCCACAGTTTATAGGAACTACTTGTTTATTTTTTAGGTTTAGTCTGTGTTTGACTA